CTGGCCACCACAAGCAGTCAACTGAATGTCTCCCAGCTACCACAACCACTATCACTACTGCTGATTATGATCTGATATATTTCACAAACAACTTGATCATCATTATCCTCATCATCAGTTTAAACATCTGCACCTTTCTACAACTGTCCAATGCTGCGCAGCCTTTGTTGTTTTGCCTGACTCATCACAAACCGGCACTTGCACACTTGCAGTTGCGTACTTATATTACATCTTGTAAATGCGCTTACTCTGTCAGTCAGTAAGTCAGTTTTTCCGGTAGATCAACACACAAAGACTGACAGCATGGAGGACAACACCATCAAAAACCAGATCATCAGCTGTCACATCGGCAACTTGGTAAACGGTCTCAAAGCACTTTCTGACAACCGAAGCCTGGCTCAGTCAATTTGTGAAGCTCAACTTAAGGTGAACTGTGTTTGCCCCAAAGGGCAGACATTGATTGGCAAATTCAGTAAGTTGTTGTTGCCCACAGGCAACTCTTCAAATAACGCTAGCAACAACACCAGCACGTTTAGCGAAATCGACCAAATTGAACAGGATCGAGCAGAAGCTAAACACAGACTTGAAGTGGCCGTCAAGAAGTTGTGCAAAAAGTCGGCCAAGGCGTTGAAAAAGCCCACTGAAAAGAACCGCCAAAAAGCTCAGCAGACATTGGAAGACTTGAACTTTGAGACGGAAATCATCTTTATTGGGCATTACCATTGGCAATAGAGGCAGCTGCAGCTTCAACTGTGTTTTTTTTCTGCTGTTGATAATCGGCAATGGCTATCACCGTATCAACCACCTCAGTGAACAGTTTGCCAAGTTGAAAGAGGCAATTGGTCAAAACGGCGACATTGACCCAGACTTTGTGCCCACAGTCATCTACACTCTATCAACGCTGAAAGTGCTTACTGCTGAAATGCAATTTGAAATGGAGCGCACAAACAAACTTCCTCTGGTGACAATTATTGAAGAGGATGAAGAGGAGTTTGCCACTACAATGCTCTCTCTGGACCTCTCTCCTTCAACTTCCGTCAAAACAAAGCCTGTCCAGCGTCCATCTTCAACGGCCCCTCATCCTAAGTACATTACTGAGCTGTTGGCAAAAGTTGGCGATTGCCTGTCGCTTCTTTCCAGCTACGAACTCAATGTTGAAGGAGTTTTTGGCCGTGGGGCTCAAAGTACGGTTCACCAGGCCTGGCTCAAGATGGCAAACGGCTCAAAAGGCTCTACCATTGCGTTGAAAGTGCAGATGGTCACCGCACGCAACTTCCAGGACGTCCTCACTGAGGTGAACTTCATCGGCGGCGAAACTGCTGTTCTACGCCATCCGAACATTCTCACCGCCAGTCGATGTTCACTTTTCAAGTCACACACTTCTAATTTTCTGCGCTGCCACTTTTACATGGCACTGGCTTTTGAGCCGATGGCCGATGGAAGCCTGGCCGACTACGTCTACGACCACTGGCCGGAGCCATTTGTTGCCTGTTTGATGTTGCAGTTGTTGAACGCGCTCAGCTACATTCATGCACAGGTATTTGGAAAGAATGCTGATGATAAGTTGATAAGTTGTTACACAAAAACTTCTAACTGTTATTTTGTAGGGAATAGTTCACGACAACATCAAACCAGACAACATACTTCTCAACAATGGCACTGTGAAAATCACCGACTTTGGCAAGGCGTTTTACCTGAAGGAAGAGCAGGAGGAGGCAAAAGAACAGCGAAACAAAATTAGCGCCATTCGGTACACCGCTCCTGAGAAGGCCCGAGCCCGACTGAATGGTGGAAATTCAAAACAGGAAAAGTTGTCCACTGCCCTTGATGTAAATGCTTGAAAATGGTTTAAAATTTCTGTTTTTATTTAAAAGCACTCATTTAAATTAAACTTTAGATTTGGTCACTGGGCGCCACACTGTACGAGCTTCTTGAAGGAAAATGCCCTTATCACGAGTACGACAGCAAAAAGGTTTTTTTGGCCATCAGCACTCATGGACTCTTTTTGACAGGGGATGGAAAATATTCACCCACATTGAAGAGTTTTTTCTCACTGTAAGTTCATTGTAATTAAAAATGTTTTTTTATATTTATACGCACAAATACTTGAACTTTAGAATGACACAGTTTAAATTTGCTGATCGACCCTCTGCTGATGTCCTTCTCGCCGATCCCTTCATTGTCAAAGCCAGCACTCCCACCGAGATAGCCGCTTTCATAAAAAAGCTAAAGGATGACATTCAATTGACCAAATAATTTTGTATTTGCTCATTGTCAACGTTGAGCACACTGGAAACATTTTATTACCTTATTTTTTACCATTTTGTTATTTAAGTTTTAATTTTTAAGCTTATGTACAAAAACTGCAATCAGTGTGGTAAATGTGACCACTGAAAAAAGATCAATAAACTGCTGACCTTTTTGATTTCTGTAATAACAAACACTATTAGTAATCCGAGCAACGTTAACACAAGACAACTCTTTTTAATCATACATATTTGCCTTTTGAGTAATGAATAAAAAAACTAGCAATATTTGAATCAGTTTCAGCGTGGTAAAGTTTACTTTTGTCATCGTTGTCGCCACTGAATGAGCAGATTTATTTGAATTTCAATTGAAATTCAATTACACTCTGACGGGGAAGACAACCACCGAATAAGAACCCAGCAAATAATGAACAAATAAACACACACTTTATTAGCCATGAAAAATAAGAAAAAGAGTTAAAAAGAATAACCGAGATGATAAAATCAACTGTAGGCTGATAAGCTGATAACACTCAAGCATAAGAAAGAATAAAGGAAATATGTCAATATTAAATCAGTTGTTTCAGTGGCATTGTGTCTGTGTTGTGTGTGCCAGTTTTAGTTGAGTGGCACATAGAAGAACTCCGTCTTGATGGAGTGGTTTGGGTCAAGGGGCACATCAACGTCTCCTCGAGGCAGGATCAACAAGCTGTCGGCGTTTGCGGCAATGGTCATTCGCACAACCGAAGGCGTTTTCACCATTTTCAGCTCGCGAATGTCCGCAGGAGCAGCAGCATTGGCTCGTCGACTGACGGCCATCTTTCCAGTGTTCAGGCAGCTCCACTGCAGCGTTTCCAAATCGAGCGACCAGACCGAGTTGACGACATTTTTCTGGCGGTTCAGATAGTCCTCGCCGTCTTCGTCCTCGTCGTAGCGCGTAAAGACGCCTAGCAGGTGCTGGCCCTCCGGTCCACGCTGCGCCCACTTGAACTTGTTGGCAAGCATCGGAGGGCAGCTCTTGTTGATAGTCAGCTCGGCTGTGTCCACCACTCGCCAGCGGTTGCCCTCGTCCAGGCGG